GACATAAACATAAGACAAAAAAAAAAAAAAAAAAAAGGAGTAGTGGTGCTACTTTGGCTAGAGCTTTCTGGGCAGCCTCCCTGAGGAGGAGGCAGCGGAGTAGACAGCTGAATGACTGGAGGGGAGAAACAACCAGGGGGAGGAGCTTTCTAGGCATTAGTGGCCTAAGGCAGGAACGGGCCTGATGCGTTCAAGAAACAGCAAAACTACCTGCAGAGTGGGAGCAAAGGGAGGGAGGAAAAGAGATAAAAGAGATAAGCAACATTGCAAGACGGAGTGGGCTCCGTGGGGCCTGAGCAACGGTCCGGATGGTACAGGCAGCTATCGGGGGTTAAAGCTTCCCACAGGGGCCTGGCTGAGATCCAGCCAGTACATACCTGTGCGGCCTCCAGGTGGTCGAAAGACTGAGACATTTCAAATCTACTGGGGAAACAGCTGCTTCTGGTAACAGAGTCACCCACCACACTGGCTTCTTTTCCAAAGGTCCCACTCCCTCCCTACGCGTGCCTCACGAACCCACAACGAAAGACTGTAAGTAACTTGGCCCAGAAGAGGCCTGGGGAAGTTGAGCAGCTCAGGAGCCTAGAATCACCGAGGTTCAGCGAGCGGTAGGGTGAGTGAAGATCATCCCTTCACGACACTCCTAGAGGCCGCCTGGAACAGTGTGTCCTGGGCTTCATCCCAAGAGGCAGCTGGGGCCCAGCACTGTCGCCGGCTTTCCCACTCCCGAGAACAGGGAGAAGAAGCAGGCAGGACAAACGGACTGCATGTCCCTGAGCTCAGGGCCGAGGTGAAGCCAGAGGAAAGGGAAACTCAGTGAACTTCCACATAAATGATCTCCTTTCAGCAGTTTCCAAGTAATCTGAACGGCTGCTGGCCAAAGCCAACCTTTAGCACTTTTACATAATATGTTAACGACCTCAGACTTTATTTGTATAGTCAAAGCTGTAAAATTGTCACGTACCAGGAGTTTTTTTGTTTTGTTTTGTTTTTTTCCAATACATTGTTAAAAGGGAAACAAAATACCAATTTTGGCAAAACATCAAATGTGACCTTTTCATTCTCATAGCTGCACTTGACAAAGTCAATATGTTTTATGTAACAACGAGTAAGTTCCTGGAGCCCTGACTTCAAACCAGAACAAGCACAGCTGAAATATGGCAACTCTCATTTCATATATACAACTTCTCCTACATACTATAGTGCTGGAAATTTCATTTGATAGATCAACACGGCTGTCAAAATCTTAAAACAAATAATGATTTCTCCAAAGTAGCATGATAGTCTCAGGCTGCTTACCATTCACCCCTATTCACCAAGTTCTTCCTCTCTGAAAATACACTCTGCTGCTCTGAAATCCAGGATCCCAACGCTGTATTACATTCTAACTTCTACTTTATTCTCATTCATTTAATTCCTTTAAACATAAAAGTCACCAATTTAATTATGCCATGGTAATATTTGCTAACATGAATTTGTAACGTGAGTCTCCTCTAAAGGAAAAGCAACTGAAAGGAACGTGGGAGAAATTTAAGCACTATTTAGAAGTAATAGATCTCAGGGCAGCAGATATACACTTACTCACTTTTACTTTCTCACTGTAAACACCCCAAGACATTAAAAATTATTTTATGCGAGCAGGACCTGTGGAAAAGCTGAAAAGCTTCACAGCTTTCCTTTTCCTTTTTAAAAATAAAATGACTTAAGAAAGGCTGAAACTTTCTTTTAAGTTGATCTTGTACACATTAAAAGCCAAACAGGAACTTGATTTAATCTTATGGGAGTTACTCTTCCAATCCTTTTGATATTAAAAAGTCGTAATAGATTAAAAAAACTACTTACACCAAGCTGAAGTCTGGACAGAGCATGAAACCAGCAGCAGCCACCGATGCCCTTACAGACTAAACTTTGTCCCTTCCTGGCTCTTTCTGGATCAGGTTCACGCTGATACACATTTACTAGCCTTGGAAGCCACCACCCAACAGCAAGGTGGGAGGGTTTGTTCATTTAACTCCTGGTCCGTACTGCTTATCAGCAACTTCTCGAAGGCTGAGTTACATATGTTCGAAGAGATACATGTAAGGATGATTAGAGGGAAAGCCTGAAAAAAAATCTCATAATCTCTGATGGCTGGGTTTTGGTTTCAGAGGGGGTTTCCTACTCCAACATGTTCCTAGCATTTTAAAAAAAAAGTCCTTTGAAGTTCAAATATTTTGCTTTCTTCCTTTACGAATGTTTCCCTTCCTCCTCTAAGTCTATAGATTGTGCAATCCTTGCAGAATGGGGTCAGAAAGTTGTTTCTCTGGTATCCTTTATCTCCTTCATCTCCATTCTCCCTATTTTAGTAGTGAGAGAAACAATGCAGAATTCTTGGTAAACTTAGTGCTTCCTTTCAAGCCCCCTGCCGATTTAATTGCAGAAGTGAGAACTCGGATCCCAAATTCTGTTCTTTGCCAGGTAAAACGTTATGCTACTCCACCGCCTTCCACATCACTGAGCTTCCCTTTCTGAGCTACTATATGCCTGCAATTTGTACCACCGGCCTTTGAAGCAGTAGCCATTTGTGATGTATTTACTGCTGTAATCACTTCACAAACATTATCTCCTGCTTGCCCGGGCAATACACACTGGGATCATCTTCAAATCTTCTTATTCCAAATCCATGTTTGCAATTTGACTCCCTCACTCTCCTCCTGCTCCCCTGCGGTGAGCACTGTGATAGGTGGAATAATGCCCTCCCCACAAAGATGTCCACGTCCTAATCACAGCTTCTCAATACGTGACAATACGTGGCCAAAGGGATTTTGTGGGTTTGGTCAAGGTTAAGAACTTTGACATGAGGAGATTATCCTGTTGGGTCCAATCTAATCACACGATCGTCTAAAGGTGATGAACTTTCCCCAGCTGTGGTCAGAAAGCCGTGAGGTGAGGACTCAAGCACCTCTGACTGGCCTGGAAGATGAAGGTGGCCTGTAGAAGCTAGAAAAGGCAAGAGATGGATTTTGGAACACAGCCTCGATGACACCTTGAGGTCAGCCCAGTGAGACCCACATTGACTTTTGACCTCCAGAACTGTAAGATGATACATTTGTAGGGTTTTCTGTTTTGTTTTTGCAGTACTGAGGATTGAACCCAAGGACTTTGTACTGAGGTACATTCTCAGCCCTTCTTTATTTTTTATTTTGAGACAGGGTCTTACTAAATTATCCAGGGAGAGCCAGGCATCATGGCACACATCTGTAATCTCAGCACTTGGAAGGCTGAGGCGGGAGGATCGCCAGAAGTGTGAGGCCAGCCTGGGTTACACTGGACTACATAGAAAGACCCTATCTACAAACAAACAAACAAAGCCCAGTTGTCCAGGGTGAGTTCAAACTCCAGATCGTCCTGCCTCAGTAGTGCTGGGATTAATCCTGAGTGCTGGGTGAAAGGTGTGCACATTACAACCAGCTTAAATTTATGTTGTTTTTGAGTCACCAAGTTGATCACAAATTTTTATGGCAGCAATAAAAAAAAAATAGGGGCTTTAATTTTATCATGCCCCTTTTAGAATATAATACCTAAAAGAGTTCTCCAAATGAGGCGTGGTTAAGGGAAAAATATTAGTAGAACTATCAATTTCCTTCATCTGGCTGCTATAAATTTATTACTTTATATTTTAAATTTATTACTTTATATTCATTATACATTTAATGCATTATATTCATTATATTTTAATGCATTATGTACTCAATAGACACCTAAGTCTTTATCACATGAGCTATATCCAACCAGAAGCCTGAGCTTCCCTTTTCTCTCTTTTATTGGGGCCAAACACACATTTCTGGAGTGTGAATGCTGGTTCTATTTAAAGCTGATAGAAGAAATATGAACAGCTCTTAAATGTATGAAGACACCTGACCTCACTCAGTATAAGGGAAACAGAAGCCAGGCATGGTGACGCACACTTGTAACCCTAGCACTCTGGAAGGCTGAGGCAGAAGGATCACAAGTTCTAGCCCAGCCTAGGCAATTTAGCAAGACCCTGTGTTGCTAAAAATCTAAAAAGGAGGAGAGAACGTAGTTCCTTGTAAAGCCTCTGGTTTCAATCCCCAGTCCTGGAAGAGAGACAGAGAAAGAGAGAGAGGGTGAGAGAGAGAGAGAGGGTAGAGAGACACACCGACAGACAGAGACAGACAGAAAGAGACAGAGACAGAGGTTCTTTGAGACAAGGTCTTGCTATGTCATTTGCCTGGGCTGGAACTCACTATGCAGCCCAGGCTGGTTTCCAACTTGCAGCGATCCTCTTGCCTCAGCCTCCCGAGTGTTAGGATTACGGACATGTACTACCATGCCCGGGCAGACTGACATTATTTTAACTATTAATGAGCAAATTTCAAAAAGTTTCATTAGACACCATGTTGGTGACTTTATGGGAAAACACAGGTAATGGAAATTAAATTGAGAAATTGTATGTATACCCTTTCACTCAGCTATAACAAAAACAGACTTACACGTGTAAAATGTATACATATGTACATGGAACTCACTGCAGCATTGTTTACAAAAGTAAAAGATGTCAGTCAGAAGGCATCTGCTAAATTACAGTACAGATATATAAATGGGGAAAAAAAGCAACTGTGCTGCTGATCAGGAATGACCAAACTGTATTCAGTTGAAAAGGAGTACAGAGCAGTATATTTAGAATGCCATCATTTGTGTGTCTGTTTGAGAGTGTGTGTATGTACCTTTCAGGAAGGGTATCTAAGAAATCAGAAACACTAGTAGTCTGTAGGAAGCAGAATCCAGAGGGCCTCTGAGGGTTAGACATGGAAAGCGGACATTATGATTATTATTATTATTTTTTGCCTTTTTGAATTTGTAACAAAACTGATATTACTTATTTAAAAATAGATATGCTAGTGGGTGAAGTGGTATATTCTTATAATCCTAGCATTCCGGTTGGCTGACCCCACTAAAAGAGAGAGAGAAGGGAAGCAGGAGGATTGGTAGCAAGTTTGAGCCCAGCCTGGGAAAGTTAGTGACTTAGCAAGGCCCTGTCTCAAAATAAAAAATAAAAAAGGATGACTGGAGGATACAGCTCAGTGTAAAAACTCTGCCTGGGTTTCAGTCCTCAGTACTGAGAAACAAACAAACAAACCGCCAAATGCAATATGGTGACCTGGATTAGATGCCAGAATAGAAAAACTGTACTCGTGAAAAAATTAAGAAAATTTCAGAGAAGCCAGATTCTAGTTAATGGTCATGTAACAACATTAATTTGCTAATGGTGAGGAGGTAACAGTGTTTATTTGTTAGTTTTGTCAAATGAGCCAGAGGCTACAGGAGAGGTGATCATGAGGAGAACCTGAAAGTTATAGGAACTTCCTAGCCTGCCTGGAAATTTTCTGTAAATCTAAAGTTATTATGAAAATAAAATGTTGGGGGCTGGGGATTTAGCTCAGTGGCACAGCACCTGCCTGGCAAGCGCAAGGTCGTCAGTTCAATTCCTGGTACCGGAAACTCCCCCCCACCAAAAA